TCTCGAGCCGGTTTCTCAAACGTACCTACCCCACCTTTAAGGTAATTATAGAAGCCCTATTTTATCAGTATGTTCTGCACAGCAGTTCATGGTCAAAACTACATTGAATTGTCCCCATGTTTTACTTTAATAGTTACTAACATTAGATATTTTAATGAGATATGGACCGCAAAACAAAAAATGTCCCTGGTTTTCATTTAAAAAATCAAGTCACCGAATGCAAGTAGGTGCCACAGGATGATGTGAATTACTGTTCAAATTGTTAAGTGATAATCGTTTTAGTCTTATATTTTTTTTCGGGGGGGGAGGCCCTTTTTCCAGTTTAGAGCCTCCAAATGTCTGTGCACGTCCCTGCTTCGGATATAACACAGGAGAAATCAACGGGACCCTTCTCTTTCATCTCCCCCCTCTCCTGACAGCCCGTCAGTATCAGTCTCATGCAGCTCTCTGATCCAGTAATGAGCAGAGGTGGGACCAAGTCATTTGTTTGCAAGATCCGAGTCAAGTCTCAAGTCTTGCGCTCAAGTCCGAGTCAAGTCTCAAGTCTTTGGTGCTCAAGTCCAAGTCAAGTCTCAAGTCAGGATGGGCAAGTTCAAGTCAAGTCCAAGTCCTAAACTTTGACAAAACGAGTCTTAAACACGTCATTATGTGGCTTTTCACCAAATGTAATGACATCGACAACAGAATAATACTTAATAATTAAACTGCTCTTTATTAGTCACATTAATACTGTAATAATCTATTTTCTCTCTGCTGGTAAAGTACCGTGTTTCTTCTATTGTAAGAGGGATCAGTAAGGTAGGCTACCGTGACGGTTTGATTCAGAAGGAGTTTAATTGATAAGATCCCTGATGTTGAGGTAACCAGAATGTTTATTTCCACTGTGTACAACATGTTATAAGGGACCCACATCTATCTTTATGCAAGGGATAATGTGCAGCGAGGCGGTCTCTATGGGGAAGAGAACACCTGAATCTAGATCCCTCTGCAGGTGGTACTTTAAGTATATTTTGATGCTAATACTTTTGTACTTTTACTTGTAACATTTTGAATGCAGGACTTTTTATTGTAACCGAGTATTCCTACACTCTGGTACTTTTACTCAAGTACAAGATCTGAACTTCTCTCCCACCTCTGACAATAAATCCTGAGTGGTTACCAAAAACAAACCCTGCTCTGAAGGTTATTTTCATTTTACAAATCCTGCACTCCGCTTTGCTTTCTCCAATATCATTGAAATGCAGCCAGAAGCTGCTCCTTTTTCGGTTTTCGCTTTTTTGACTTTTTCCGACGCGCTGGCATTTAAATCTGTCTCCCTGTCGCTCTGTGTAGCTGGCCTGTACCACTACACCTGCTGTCTTTGGAGCGTCTGCCCCCACCCTTCTTTCAAATATGGTATGATCCTAGTGTGTCCTCACATATGATTGGCCGCATGGTGGCCCAGCTAAATAAAGACCCGCCCCTGCCTGCAAGGATTCTCAGCAAGAGTTGAAGCGGCTGAAGATTCTGCTTTCCCCGACGGGAGTCTGCTCTTCTAACGGTAGCTCGCGATCGGCGTGTTGGAGACCTCTGAATTAAATTATCAAGTCACCTCAAGTCAGAGGGCTCAAGTCCAAGTCAAGTCCCGAGTCATTGGTGTTCAAGTCCAAGTCGAGTCGCAAGTGTTTTGTGATTTTGTCAAGTCGAGTCCAAAGTTATCAAATTGGTGACTCGAGTCTGAATCGAGTCCAAGTCATGTGACTCGAGTCCACACCTCTGGTAATGAGTGACCCGACAGTAAAGAATAAACATATTTATAACTAGTTTGGTTACCTCCAGAGGTAGATAAGATAGCTAATGTGTTAGGTCTAACTTGAAGCGTGTGCCCCTCACCAGTCCCCTCAGCGGACAGAGCTGCAGGTAATCATACAGAGCGTGTCTCAGTCAGCAGAACCTGATCACTGATTTCTTCTCTCTCTCTCCCGATTACTTCACTCGCGTTTATGTCCATAGCGATCAGATCTAGCTACTTCTGCAGACACAACACTGTTGTGGTTACACGTCGCCGCATGCCATCTAATATCACACACTGGGGCAGCATTATGCTGGAATTGTCTGGTTAAGTATACAAAGTCGACGTAATGGCGGATCTTCTTTACTACAAGCATTTCTGAATAACAGTGTAAAAGGGGCTTAAAAGAAACAGCTAACTATGCTACACAGACAGCTGGTTGGTTAGGTACGTTAAAACAACAACTGCGGACAAAGCAAGTGCTAATAGATGCATTCACACCGCAGTACTTTTCCCACAAAGGGTTCATCAGAACTTAGTTCATGAGAACTCTTTAGTTCTAATGAACTAAGCAGTGGCGACTGGTCATTAGGGGCAGGTGGGGCACAGCCCACCTAGTGTCAGCAGAAAGTATTACAAATAATGATTACAAAAAATGCAAAAAAAAAATAAAAAAATATATAAAATATATTTTAAGATCATGTTTAATCATCTGATTCGTCTGTACATTGCTGTTTTAGTCTGTGTTCTTCTAATTAGTGTGTCTACAGTCACAGTGTGTGCCTATTGAGCTGTTTAGAGCATGTGGGACAAAACCTGATCATGCCCCTTCCTCTCGCTGTGAAGTGAACGATGACTGTAAAAACTACACTGCGCATGCTCAGAGTATTTCCCCCGTTAATGTGTGTGGCAAAAAAATAATGACCAGAGGGGCACTGAGCTGCCATCCCCACCATACGTCATCTCACATCATTCAGAGCTGATTGGCTGTAAGTACGTGTGCCGCGAAAAGTGTGGTGTGTGTGTGAAGAGGAGACGAGAGAGCTGCAGTGACGCGTCCTAAAACCAGGAAGTAAGCACAAAAAAGCAATGAGGTTCTCCATAGGATTTTAGAAAATAGCTCGAAATAAGATCTGTGGGAAACGTACCTGTTAGATAAATGCACGTTTTGTTCAGCCGGATAATATCCACATGTCTACCCTACTTTTATATTTTTTTTCATCATACAATCTACGATTAGATTTTGATAGGACTTTTGAAAACTACAAGGAGGACTTTTTACAAAAAAGTAATAGAAATGTTTGTCCAGAAGGATAGGCAAATGTGACTTCATCTTCAAGTCAAGGTAAGACCGCAATTTTATTGAAAATGGGATCTTACTAAGAGAGAACAATTCAATATTTAAATGATAAAATTACATTTTTGGGTATCCTTTTGTTGAACTGTCTGTTTAAAATTAATCGAAAGCATCAGACAAAAAAAGCTTTGAAAATAATATTATATTTTGGTTTAGGTCAAAATATAATATTTGTAAACCTGAAGAGTCAGTGCCAGTGCCTCACCAGCCATGAACCTCACTGCACGTCACTGCAGAAGCTATAGACATCTAAGTTTTTTTGTGCCCCACCACTTTTGTACATATAAAAACGCCACTGGAAACTAAGTACAGATCGCGTTCACACCGGAATAAGTCCCTGGGGGAGGATTAAGCAAATGAAGCCGCTGACGTCACTTCTTCTTCTTCTGCTTTGGGTTTACTGGCAGGCCGCAAACAACTTCACGGCGTATACTGCCGCCCGAAGTCCCCAGCCGGAAGTCCCCCGGTGTTGGGGACTGGCTTCAGTAGAAGCAGCTGGGACTCCCAGCAGCTTCTACTGAAGCCTTCCGAGTAAATTGCCAGAACGCCGACACCTCCTCATCTCCACCGCTCCCATGTTTTTCTTTTGTGTTGCCATAAGTTAGTCTCTCTGCGTTGTGTGCTGGGCTAATGCTAATGCTCATAATGCTAATGCGAGGATAATAAATGGCGGCTTCACAAAACGTTTTTGGAGTTTTTATGGGGCGTGGTTTGCAATCCGCCCATCCCACGAAAGTACCTGCTCTCTAGCAGGGGACGGAAAAGGGGGGTAAAAAGGTTCTCATGAACTAATTTGAGTTTACGGCTCTTTTTGGTGTAACGCGACAAATGTTTCTACTTTTTACTTGAGTAAAACGTTAGCTTCACTTCATCTGGTTGACATGTGTCCACCTCTGCTATTCTGTGTGCTGTGTTAAGAAGCGGACAGAGAAACTAGCTATAACCTACGAAAGCATGGCTGCAAGTGTGACCATATTTAGATAATTACACCTTATAAAGTTGTATATGCACAAAGAACAGGGTCAATATTTCCTTAACTTTTGCTAGCTGGCTACTTACCAGGATTTGCTGGGAGTTTTTACTGGTGGTTCTCGTCATGGTATTTCCTTTCTTGTGGCCACATGTGGCGCAGATAGAAAAGTAGATTTCCCATGAGCACACTGTATTTGCGCGCGATTGTTAGTGTAATTTACTAAATGTCATAATTTTTTGTTAAAGATAAAGAATATTGATTTGGAATTAGTAATAATTGCAGTTCCTGAAACTGATCAGTAATATTTGCCAAATATCAAATATTTTGATTGAAATGTATCAAAGATATTAAGGATATCTTAAAAATATATTTTGTTAGTCAAATTCTCATTTATTTTCGTGTAATCAACTTAAATAGTAGTAATAATTTAAGAAAAAATTAACTGTTGGATTTTAGGCATTCTTTTGGTATCTCCACTCAAACAATTACTTTGATGATATTTAGAGATTTTATTAAGGTAGTAATAGCTTTTTATATTGTGATATTTTACAAAGCCACTGAATTAGTTTTTAGAGTGTAGAAAATAAACGTATCTGGCTGTTTCAGCCACAAGCTCTGCGCCCAACCAAATGGTGAACAAAGAGCAAATTGTGTATCATGTGGAATGCAAGCTGTCCACATTTCTGTAATGCATTAGAGTTTGCTGTGCCACTCTACAGGAAGTCCCGTCTCCTTCAGAGGTTGATCAGTGCTGTGTTTCCTTTTAGTCACACAGAGACAACACCTCTCTCCCGGCACCTCCCTCTTCAGCTCATTTCTCTCGGCTCTCATCCACATCCATGACGGTGAACAGAGGCTCCTGGGCTGTGACTGATCCGTGCCGGAGCTTAGTGGCAGAGTCAGAGTAGGGTGGAGGGGGAGTGTGGACGAAGGTCCTCAGAGTAATTTGTCTTCATCTCCGGGTCTGGACAGAACATGTATACATACAGGCTGCAGCCAGAGTCCCACCAGGTTTGGACCCCACCCAGTACACCTGTAAAACACACACACACACGCACACACACACACACACACACAACACACACACACACACACCGCCACACACACGCACACGCACACGCACACGCACACGCACACACACAGGCGAAAAACACAGAACATTTAACATTGTGACACATGTGAACTTCACTTATTCAGACAAACCAGTAGTTTTCATTATTATCATAATAACAATGAATTACGTTCCAATTAACAATTAATAACTAACTAACAGATTAACTAACTGACTAACTAAACAACTAACTAAACAATTAATTAACTAAACACTAACTAAACAACTAAACTAAACAACTAACCACTTACTAACTAACCGACAGCAATTGGCACATATTAGTGTATCTGAACAACGATTCTCTATTCAGGTCACAACTAAAGTGGGCGGGGCTTACACTGGAAGTAAATTGGAAATGGTCTGATATGCTTAATTTCTACTATTATGACAACACACAATGACACAGTACTGTCTAAAAAATAGACAATATTCAATTACATTTTACTAATCCTCAGCACACAGTGTCAGCTTTTGGAAAAGCTTCACACAATTTACGTTGTGTAGTTAGATGGATTCAAAGTATTAGTATTTCTGTATGGAAAAAAAACACGTGCATACCCAATGATGTTTATGTACAGTATATTGATACAAAATAAAGTATTAGTTACCCCAGATGGTGATCCCAGCTCCATGTGACCATGGCTGGGCCAAAGGTCCGTGCGGGGGTTCATACTGGCTCCAGTGTAGGGAATCTGAGGAAACAACCCAACCAATGTGTTCCAGAATACGTTTTTCCTCTGATCTGATGCATTTATGGGCAGGATTATATTAGTGCCTGTCCAGTAATCAAACATTTATATTTAGTATGCCATAGGAGTCCTCAACCTCCTTTGATGCTGTTCCAAATAAATTGAATTATTTCTGTTTTAAATTATTCATTTATTTCTTATTTTGACAAAATCCTTTAGTCATAAATCAGATTCAGAAGCCAAAAGCAGAACTATTCTGAGCTGATAATCGGTATCAATCATTGCGTTTAATCTATAGCTGAATGTTCTAACAAAAAAAGCAATGAGCCTATTAGCTATTAGCTTTAAAAGGATGTTATCTCCTTATTTCCCATGTCTATTACAATATTACCTCCCCTGTCATTTGTATTAACACAAGTCATTACAAAAATGAAGCTGTGAAACGTGTTGTTTATAACGCAATCTAAGCTACAATGTGGCGTCCTATTGCTTCCTAGGTTATTATGTCTATCGCTATCTCTCAATCTTCTTACAAGTAACAAATTGGGGTGAGTGTTGTGTACTCACAGCAAACAGGTGACCAATAACCACAGACAGGCCGATAGCCAGAGAAGAAGAACCCTTTAGGTCGTTGCGTTTGTGGTCGCAGGTAGCAAACACAGTGAAGACCAGCTGAAAGGTGATGAAGAGTTCCACAACCAATGCGCTGCCCACGGAGATGCTTGTATGCACCTGTTTTGGAAACACATCAATCATCATTGATATATAAATACAACACCCCTTTTTACCTTTTAAATGAGCTCCGTAACATGATATAAGACATGTAGAACACATTGCAATCTGCCTTCATTGCAGTTTTTTGTATGATAAATATCTTTCTGGATTTTTTTAAATAGACTTGATGCTGTAATATACCAGATTATCAAGAATAATTGTCAATTAATTTTAGGAAACCCGTATTTAGGAAAAAAGTCAAGTATTATGATTTGTAGGATAGTAAATATTCCCTCTGAGTGAGGAATTGATTAATTTACATTATTTTACTTAAAGGGGCCTATCATGCAAATGCACTTTTGTACGTCTTTTATACATGAATATGTGACCCCGGTGTTCCAGAACCAAGTGTCAGAAAACACAACCCTCTCTATTTTCCTCCATACCCAAATCTCTAAAAAAGGGGCTGCAACGGATCTGATAAAACTGATCCAGATTTGAACACTGTCCTGACGTCAGGACAGTTGCGCTACGGCTATTGGGCCAACTCCACCATCAGGAGGAGACAGCCACGGCCATTGCCGTTTCGAAAGCGCTGGAGACGCTGTAGTAACATATGCCAAGGCCTGTAGATGGTGCTGTTCTCACAGAATCAGCCCTTGCTAAAACAGAGCTAGAAAATTGTCAAATTGAGCAAAATGAGGCATGGCTAAAATGCATGATCTGTTTGGTATTTTGAAAAAAAAAAAAGTAATAAATATGCCTTATATAGGTATGGTCCTACACTATATTATTCAAATATAGCATGATAGGTCCACTTTAATTGATCCCAATTTGGGATTTTCTTTTGTCATCGCACCATGTTAAAAAATGAAATAAGAATAAATAATATATAATACATATCAACAGTAGAAATAAACACACAAATATCAAATAAAATATACAAAATAGATCAAATATATAGAAATCAAATTATGAAAACAGAAAACGGGAACAAAACAGTAAAATAAATATACAGTACATAATTATATGGAGTATCTGTCAAATACCCAATAAAAATACTGTATGATATGCCAAACTTCTACTAATATAAACATAGGTGATAACATGAGCTTGAAATGAGCAGTTCATTGTTAGTCATCGCTTAAATAAATAAAAAGTACAAACCGTGGTGACCCCCATGCCGCCCCTGACAGAGGCTGGAGTGATGCCGTACAGAATGGCGGCCCCCACAATGGACCCCAAACACTGGGCCAGTATGTAGAAGATAGCTTTAGACAGACTGATCTTCCTGGTCACCACCATGGCTGCTGTGACCGCTGGGTTAATGTGAGCCCCGCTGATGTGGCCGAAGCACTGAACCATGGTGGCGATACTCAGGCCAAAGCAGAGCGAGATGAGCACTAGGTCAGCGGGACGGGGGTCCTCCGCGATAGCCCCCCAATTGATGGTTGACCCGAGGCCGAGCAGAACGAAGAGCAGCATAGCGAAGAACTCAGCACTGACGCAGCGCCAGAACTCCTGAGTCCAGATGTCCTTGAAGGCAGTCATGGCTTTGTCTCGAGAGCAGCAAGATGGAGGCTGGAAGTGACAGCGTGGTGTGCTGCAGGGGAAACAACACCTCCTGAAAGGCAGGACAGGAAGGCCAGAAATCAATAAGAGACACCAAGGTATGAGAGGGGTTCTTACCACCAAATGGAGAAACAGCCATAATCACAAAGTAGAAAGGACTATTAATACAACCGCTTGGGGGTTGTGTCACTTTAGCGTTAGTCACTGCCATAGCCCCCACTGTGTTCCGTTTAGTGTTGACTTGATGCATGTCATCTTAAATGTTGCAGGTTTCTTGTTTGTCCAGCTTTCATTGTTTTTAAAGGTCACCTATTATGCAAAATCCACTTTTTCATGTCTTTTATACATGAACATGTGTCCCCTCTGTGTAAAGAGACTCTGAAAGTTTCAGGAAAAAAGATTTGCTCACTTTTTGTCTTAATCCATTTCTATAAAAACCTGTCTGAAAATGAGCTGATCAGATTTTGGCCACTTTATGATGTCATAACGTTTTTTTGGCTTGTGTTACCATTAGCCAATCACCAACCAAGGTAACAACCGCCCACCTTATCTCCTGAATCTCCTCCTAGAGCACCATTGTGTTCTTTTTAACCAAATATCTCTCAGAGGGGCGTGGGGAGGGGCTCCTTATTTTCATCTAAAGCTACAGACAGAGAATCAGCACTTTTGAAACAGAGGGGATTATGGGATGCTGCAATGATCTGTTTGGTGTTTGGAGCCAAACACTTCAAGACATGTTTTGTATATATCTGAGACCTATAATATATTAATGAAAAAGAGTGTAAGTAGGGAACCTTTAATACAACTGCTTGTGGGTTGTGTCACTTTAGCGTTAGTCGCTGCCATAGCCCACACTGTGTTCCGGTTAGTGTTGACTTGATGCCTGTTATCTTACATTTTGCCGATTTTCTTGTTTGTCCAGCTTTCATTGTCTTTAAACTGTGGTGTTTTTTCCACACTATTTTCTTGTTTGTTGTCTCTCTCTTTTTTGTGTTTTTTACGGGGGGCTGTTCAGCCATCATCAATCCAAAGTTACCTGCTCTCCAAATATAGACTTCTAACTAACATTCACTTTACCCATAAGACCCTTGAGAAAGCAAAATGGGTGTGTAATAAATATATTTTTCAAAACAATAGTTGATATGAGAATTTTGCAATCATATTTAGGATCCAGAGTGTTATCATAGCACAGAGGCTGCACTGGTTGAAAGTTACAAATGACCTTTTAATTGCATTCTAAAGAAAAGACGTGTCTCTGTACTTGTTTGTTAGATGTTAATTGCTTCATTCGACACCATTGACCATTACATTATCTTACATTTACTGACACCAATTTAATTCGGCATTAAGGAACAGTGCTAAGCTGGTTTAGGTCTTATTTATCTTAGAAATCTCGGTTTGTACTAACTATTTATCCATATACATGATTTTTTTCTATCAAGCCAACCAATGAAACCAATCAGGTTACTACACCTAAAGCATGCCTTAAAAACATAACAAACCTGAATTGCCTGCTATTTAGAAATGTTGAACACATACTAGTGATTGTACGAGGCCAAAAGGACCTCCAATCTGGATGGCATTACCCTTTGTAACAATATATCCTTTAAGAATTCAAGGACTTGCCTTCTTTGCTCTGCATAACATTATAAACATTCGGGGGCATCCTGAAATAAAAATGGTGGCCACACATTTGTCACTGCTTAGCTAGATTGTGGTAATTCCTTATGAATTACTGTCCCTAAAGACTCTCCAGCTGATCCAAAATGCCTTTGACGTTGTATGAGGAAACAAGATAATACCTCCCCTATACTGACATCTCTGCACTGACATCCTGCTAAATCCAGAAATATAATTTATAATCTTTATAATTATGTTATTTTTGTATTGTTTGATGCATGGGTCTTTCAAGGGTAGGTGCCCACATCTAAATTCTGCCCTAAGGCCTCATAGAAAGTAAATACAGCCCTGAACATCATCAAATAAAAATAAAACATTGACACAAAACAAGATTAATACCCCAACAAATATGAATGTGTTAATTTAGATATATTTGTATCATGTCATTTATTTAATTGAATCCCATGGTGTGCCACATGAGAACAACCCTCATTCTTTACTACCAGTGGCGACTGGTCATTAGGGGCAGGTGGGGCACAGCCCCACCTAGTGTCAGCAGAAAGTATTACACATAATGATTACAAAAAATGCAAAGAGATGCAAAAAAAGAAATAAAAAAAGATATAAAATATATTTTAAGGTCATGTTTAATCGTCTGATTCGTCTGTACATTGCTGTTTTAGTCTGTGTTCTTCTAATTAGTGTCTACAGTGCCGTTTTGAGCCGTGTGGGACAAAAACCTGACCATGCCCCTCCCTCTCACTGTCAAAGTGAACGGTGACTGTAAAAACTACACTGCGCATGCTCAGAGGTATTTTCAATGTAATGTGTGGCAAAAAAAAAAAGTCCTTCGGGGCACAGAGCTGCCATCCCCACCATACGTCATCTCACATCATTCAGAGCTGATTTGGACTTTTACAAAAAAGTTATAGACATGTTTGTCCAGAAGGATAGGCAAATGGACTTCATCTTCAAGTCAAGGTAAGACCGCAATTTGATTGAAAATGGGATCTTACTAAGAGAGAACAATTCAATATTTAAATGATAAAATTACATTTTTTGGTATCCTTTTTGTTGAACTGTCTGTTTAAAAATTAATCGAAGCATCAGACAAAAAAGCTTTTGAAATAATATTATATTTTGGTTTAGGTCAAAATATAATATGTGTTAAACCTGAAGAGTCAGTGCCAGTGCCTCAGCAGCCATGAAACCTCACTGCACGTCACTGCAGAAGCTTATATATAGACATCTAAGTTTTTTTGTGCCCCACCACTTTTGTACATATAAAACGCCACTGTTTACTACAGAAGAAAGTTATCATTCAGCCCGTCTGGTAAACATCTCTACATTTAGTTACACACGAAAGCCAATTTAATGTCTGTGGCACACATGATTCTACTTTGCTATTCATTAAGAGCCTCAGAACGGTTTAGTGTAGATTATAGTGCTTTCTTTGTCCCCTTTGATTAAACTAGGAATAATGTTGCACCATCACAAGACCAGACATTTCATACGCTAACCGTGTATCCGCCTTGTCACTGTTGTAGTTCATGAATGGGAGCACAAACACAATGCTACTCAAACTGATGGTTCATTCCGTTTTTTTTCTGATTATTATGAAATACTATTGCCTTTTATAATATATCATATTGCCTATTATAATATTACTATGTGTCATTTTTGGAAAGAAGGAATAACAGCTGCAGTAGTAAGAGTAGTACAGGTGCCACCCACTCTCATTATTCAATCAGTACTAATCCTTATTATGCATCCCATCATAGTATTTTCTTTATAGATGAGTATTTGTCATTATTATTGTTGGTTTTCATTAAAACTGACACCAGTTCAACCAATGACTCATCATGGCTGTTTGTGCTTAAATCTATAGTAGACCATGGTCAAACATTTTTATATAGATGAGCTTGAAATACCCACATAAATAAATGGCAACCAAATCAAAGCTACTATTTATAGACAAAATATTAAAGTCTCCAAATACCAAAACACAATGACAAACATGAAAACTACCATGCTTGTAAATTGTAATTGTTAATTTATTTTCTTTTAAAATTAGATTTATATTATTTAGGCTTGATGCTCAGTAGCCCTGCAGTAAACTCACCTTCTCTGTCTGTGTCTGTGTCTCTGTCTGTGTCTCTGTTTGTGTCTCTGTCTGTGTCTCTGTCTGTGTCTCTGTCTCTGTCTCTGTCTGTGTCTCTGTCTGTGTCTCTGTCTGTGTCTCTGTCTCTGTCTCTGTCTGTGTCTCTGTCTGTGTCTCTGTCTCTGTCTCTGTCTCTGTCTGTGTCTCTGTCTGTGTCTGTGTCTCTGTCTCTGTCTCTGTCTCTGTCTCTGTCTCTGTCTCTGTCTGTGTCTCTGTCTGTGTCTCTGTTTGTGTCTCTGTCTGTGTCTCTGTCTCTGTCTGTGTCTCTGTCTGTGTCTCTGTCTGTGTCTCTGTCTGTGTCTCTGTCTGTGTCTCTGTCTCTGTCTGTGTCTGTGTCTCTGTCTGTGTCTCTGTTTGTGTCTCTGTCTGTGTCTCTGTCTCTTGTCTGTGTCTGTGTCTCTGTCTGTGTCTCTGTCTGTGTCTCTGTTTGTGTCTCTGTCTGTGTCTCTGTCTGTGTCTCTGTTTGTGTCTCTGTCTGTGTCTCTGTTTGTGTCTCTGTCTGTGTCTCTGTCTGTGTCTGTGTCTGTGTCTCTGTCTGTGTCTCTGTCTGTGTCTCTGTCTGTGTCTCTGTCTCTGTCTGTGTCTGTGTCTCTGTCTGTGTCTCTGTCTGTGTCTCTGTTTGTGTCTCTGTCTGTGTCTCTGTCTGTGTCTCTGTCTCTGTCTGTGTCTCTGTCTCTGTCTGTGTCTCTGTCTCTGTCTCTGTCTGTGTCTCTGTCTCTGTCTCTGTCTGTGTCTCTGAATCCTGGTGTCTCTGTCTCTGTCTGTGTCTCTGTCTGTGTCTCTGTCTCTGTCTGTGTCTGTGTCTCTGTTCTCTGTCTGTGTCTCGTGTCCTGTGTCCTCTGTCTGTGTCCTGTGTGCTCTGTCTTGTCTGTGTCTGTGTCCTCTGTGTCCTGTCTCTGTCTGTGTCTCTGGATGTGTGCTCTGTCTGGTGGTCTCTGTCTGGGTCCTCTGTCTTCGGTTCTGTGTCTCTGTTTGTGGTCTCCTTGCTGTGTCCTCTGTTTGTGTCTCTGTCTGTGTCCTCTGTTGTTGTCCTCCTGTCTGTTGTCCTCTGTCCTGTGTTCGCTGTTTGGTGTCTCTGTCTGTGTCCTCTGTTCTGTGTTCGTCTGTCGTGGTATCTCCTGTCTGTGGTCTCTCTGTCCTCTCTGTTCTGGTCCTCTGTGGTTATGGTACTCACCTACAGACCGCTCCACAGCCCCGG